ACTATTTCACCCTTTCCAAATTTGACTCAACAAATCATGGCCCAAAACCCTAAATGACCCAAGGCCCAAAACTGCCCATAAAGGCTTCTGGTGAGTACGCCCTACGTACCACCACTGTACGCCCAACATACTACGTGTTCAAAGAGAGGGTAACGAGTTGAAACCCGTTATGCGCAGTGTACCAGGAGGACACGCCCAACGTACACCACTAGTGTCCAATCACAACTCCAACCTCTTAATACCTTAAGACCTAAAGTCCAACTCCTAGATCTGACTCTAAGGGACGTCTTAAGTCATAAAGTTTCGAAATTTATGACTTTGCATGGCTTAATGGGGTCCAAACCAAAGCCTTAAATTCATAACTTTACCAAAGGTGCACTAAATCATGCATGGAAGACATATACCCATCAAGATTCGGTTTTTATGACTTATTTGACCTAAAAATGACTAACAATGAGGCTCAAAGGTTTTGGAATAACTTCTACTCACAAGATCCAAACCATGGGCCAAAACATGCTCATAACATAACCTAAAGCTAGATCTACATTAAAGAACCATCAAGATCGAAGCTTTATACCTCTAGAAGAAAGATCAAGGTGAATAAGGTATGGATCTACAAGCTCCAAGCCAAGCAACACTTCTGTTATGAGCTCCTTCTTCTCCACGATGCACCAAGAACACTCCAAAACACTCAAAGGCTCAAGAATCTTACATCTGGGGCTAGGTTTTCGAGGGAACTCCTTTAGAGGATGGAGGCTGAAGATAAGAAGGGTTTTTAAAAAGTTAAGGTCTTTAAATAGTGTCCAAGACCGAAAAAATTGGTTTGACCCTACCTCGTGTACGCCTAACATACTCTAGGTACGTCCAACGTACTAGAGAGAACATCATGGCCAACTTAAGCCAGGTACGCCCATTGAACATGCCATGTACACCCATTGAACATGCCAAACACACTTCCATTCTATCTTCCAAAGCCCATAACTTATTCGTCCCGACACCATTTTTGTCATTCTTTATATAATCGGAAATGTAATGAAAAGCCCTACAATTCCATCAACTTTGTGACAACTATCAAATTTGGATCCAACAAAAGTCAACTCGACCCATATTAGAATTTTAGGTAAATCTTGATGTTTCCTAATGTACAACCTGCAAGTATTAATACGAAACACCTCTCTTTTCGCCAATTATTGAATATAAATCCTACTTTTTGAGTAGCAACGTTAATTTCGATAATTCCAACATATATTATTTTGGTATAAATAATATTTTCAACACATTGTGCTATTATCTTTATTGATAATACTTCCTTTATATTTATTTGAATTTTTATAATTCAGATTAGGTAATTAGACATTAGTTTCACCATTTTTTATTTATAAAATACCCATCTTTTTATAAAAACTCTTAGTTTTTATAAAGGATAAAAGAGTTGACTTTGGATGCACGGAAAGCCCCAACACGATTCAAATCTTACTACAACTTTCCACAAAACATATTACCTACCATACAACCAAGAAACCATCACCTCAACCAACCCCACCCTACCCCCACCCACACCCCTCTCCCCCTCTTTAACTTGCGGCTGAGGGTTCCCACACCCTCTGCGATCTTCATCTTTCCTCCATTTTCTCTCAAGAACAATGCTCCAATCTTCCAAAGATTTACTCCTTCAAGTTTGTTCTTAGATTTTTGGTAAGCATTTCCTTGTTAATCTAGTGTTTTTATACACCTTCATACTAGTTTTGTGACTTTTACACACATTATCATGTGTTAAAATCCATAGGATAATATCATCTTCAAGAGTTCTTCAACCACCTTCAAGTGTTCTAAGCTTGAGGATATTCACCTTCATATCTTTATCCAACCACAAACACACTAAAGGTGAGTTCATACCCTATATTTTTCGAGTTTTTCATGCTTTAAGGGGGGAATACAAGAAATATTTGGAATATTTACACAAATGTTTGCATGTTTCATTTCTATGTTGGATATAAAGAATTATTTGCATGAAATATGGTTATTACTAGTTTTTAGAACATTTATTTGTGGTATGATGGTTTTGAGATGCAAAACTAAGAAAAACAAACATAAACTATGTTATATGTGCATAAGAAGAAATTATAACTACAAAACTACAAATATTAAGATTTTTATGGACAAAATATGACTTTTTTAGCAAAAATGGTTATAACCTAGTTATTATGCCATTTTTGTGGATATAACCCAAAATATATTGTTTTGGTCATGTATTTTGAAACAAGACAAAAATATCAAGAGTTAGTTTTACAAAAAGAAAACTCAGGAATCTATCCTTTTATGCAAAAATGAATTTTTAAAACAAAAATGGTCATAAGAAGTTTATGGCATCATTTTTGTGGGTTTGGACTAAAAACATATGGTTTTAAACATATAAAGTTAACTTAAGTTAAACACCCCAAAAAGGTAAAAATAAGTTTTACAAGTTATATTTTACTAGTTACCGGTAAATTTCGTTAAAAATGAGCAAAAACTAGAAATTGAGTTTATAATACTAAATATTATCATATTTGTGTTAGATGTAAGTTTCTATGTTATAATCTTTTAAAACATCTAGACATGATAACTTATATGTGTGTGTGTACAGACACACACATGTGAGAGATGTAGACACTAGCGATTTGGGCTATGAAGATGGCGACATGGGAGATATTAACAACCATGGTCTAAGTTTGTTTGAACAATTTTGGAAGTCGATGGGGGTTGGTAGGGTTTAGTGTGTGTGTGTGTGTATATATATATATATATATATATATATATATATATATATATATATAGAAAGAGAGAGAGAGAGAGAGAGAGAGAGAGATTTTCTTTTTTCTTTTTATTTTAATTATGAAAGTATTTAAATAAATAAATAAACTAAAATAGCAAAAACTAAAGACAAAATCATCATTAAAAAAGTTTAAAGTAATTAGACAAAAGTAGCAAGAAAGCCAAAACATTTTAGTCCAAACATATTTTGTCCAAAATGACAATTTTCACCTAACCACTCTGACCATTTTTCAATTTTGAATTTTTAAAAAAACCTTGCGATCGCCTCATCTAAAATGAGCTCGATATGATTTTGAAGGCTAATACGGACAACATAAAAAAATATTACAAGTAGTGTTTTGTTTAAAAATTTCTTTTTTTATATAGTTTATTTATTTATTGCTTTTTAGACATGTAATGGGTTTAATTAAATTATTGAAGTGTTTTTTTTATTAAATTATATATTATTCAATTAAAAAAAGAAAGATTAAAAAAATTAAAAGTTGATAAAATGTGTTATGACACCCATCAATTTTGTAGGGGTAATAAAAAAAATAAAATGACTACAGTACAAAACTGTGATATATGTGGTATGTAGAGGTGACAATTGATAACACGACACAATAAAATATACGATACGAAACGAAATTGAAATTCGAATTCGTGTTCATATCATGTTCGTGTCTAGTGCAAAAAACGCGATGTCGTTTCGTGTCGTGTTCAAAATTTGTTACGAAATTGACACGATTTAACATTTTTTGTCGTGTTTTTTGTGATATGTATGAATAACTATTAGTTAAATACATTAATTGTTATTTCATGTTATATTTGTCGTGTCATGTTATGTTTTTCGTTTTTTAATTGGTTCGTTTTCGTGTTAGTTAAGAAAAACTCGATATCGTTTCTTGTCATGTTTGTGTTACATAAAACTTTGTCGTGTCGTGTCGTATCGTGTTAGACAAAAACACAACATGACGATCCGATTTGCCACCCTACTGGTACGACACTACCGACCCAAGCCATGTTCATATGTATCTTGGATTTTGTATCAAAAGTCCAAAAGCTATAAATTGAAAACTTTTGTTTGAACACCAAACATGAAAATATGAAAAGTTTGAAAAATAAGGTGGGTGAATTCAAAGAAACTAAACTATTGGGGCAAATATGAGAAACAGCCAAAGTTTAGACGGCAAAAATTCGAACTCCAAATGGAATTGCCAAAAGTCCAAAGGCTAATTGCGACTGAACAATGAACATAACAACCAAAGAAGATCAACATATCCCACTCATATGATATTTTTTTTCAATAGCCAATTTCATTGGAATTCTCGGTAGTAGTCCTGTAATCTAATCGACTATTAAGTCGCTGATTTCTATACAGTCGCTGAATCCTAGATCGCAGCATCAACGATTTCACGACACCGCATCTAGTATCAGGTTTGAAACCCTAATATTTGTTGTTTTCAATCAATTTAAAGTTAATCTTTGGTTTTTGGGCATATTGATGGAACAATGGAGTAAGACCTCGAGAGGCATGGTTACTATTAAGTGAGAAAATAAACCGTTTTTTTGTAAATTCTACCTTGTTAATCATAATTTCAGAATCAAAATTGGGTATGATTTATGTGTTTTGTTCCAATAATGGAGGTACAGTTAAGAGGCGAATCAACTAGATTAATCACCTTAAGATCTCGATTAATGATCTGCATAAATATCATAGTTCAGATCATTGGTAATTTATGTATTCAATTCCATAGCTTTATACTGAAACATGACGTTTATGGAATTTAATCAATTTATAATTTTGAATCTAAAAGTAAAACCAATGATGATCTTTCATCTCTGTTTTCAGGTTAAGAGTTATCTACTTATTTAAACCACTGCTACAGCAAAATCCCGATCAAACAGATAGACGATCTTTCAACAATCATGTCTTTCACCATAACCAAATCTATACTGATTTTAACTCTCGTTTTCATCTTCTTCCAAGTTCCAACCTTTGCAAGCTCCCCCCATTTAATAAATTTCCGATCACCCAATCTTTACCCTGAGTCTCTCTCGTGGGACCGAACAGGTCAACACTTCATAGTTGGCTCCCTCCGCCACCCAACTCTCCTTTCTGTTTCCGATGCCGGAGTTATCAACACACTAGTCTCCGACGATTCCATTCCGGCCAACTCCTCTTTCCTTGGAATCACAGTAGACATTGTCCACAACCGTATCCTAGCAGTAGTCCACTCCCATTCCCAACCTTCCAACTCCGCCCTTGCCGCCTACGACTTACGCAGCCCCCACCACCGCCTCTTCCTCTCCGCCCTCCACGACACCGCCTCCACCACCACCGCCCCCGCCGCCAACGACGTCACCTTTGATTTCTCCGGAAACGCGTTCGTGACCAATTCCGCCAGCAACTTCATCTGGAAAGTGGATCTTGAAGGTAAATCTTCTGTATTTTCCAAATCCAAAACCTTCACGAAAACACCCGGAATACCCGAAATGCCCTGCGGGTTAAACGGAATTGCTTACTGTAGCAAAGACTACCTCATTGTTGCCCAGTCAAACACAGGCAACTTATACAAAGTTGATTCCGAAGATGGGACAGCAAGAAAGATTCAATTAAACAAGGAATTGAATTCCCCCGATGGAATTGCATTCAGGAGGGATGGTGTTCTAGTAGTGGTGTCAAAAGAAAAGCTTTACTTTATCAAGAGTGACAACAGTTGGAGTGATGGTGTGGTTTATGACGAGACTGCCCTTGATGCCGAACGTTTTGCTACATCGGTGACTGTAGGAGCGGAGGACAGGGTGTATGTGTTATATGGTCATGTGGACGAGGGTATAATGGGAAATTCACAAAGGGATGAGTTTAGTATTTTGGAGGTAAGGTCGGAGGAGGAGAGCCGGGGTGATGCGGTTTGGGTGTATGTATTGATCGGGTTTGGGTTCGCGTATTTTTTGGTTTGGAGATTTCAAATGCGTCAGCTTTATACAAATATGAACAAGAAAATTGCATAATCATGAGGGCTTTCAACAAAAGTTCGAATCCTTCAGGTATATGGTTTTGTAGGTGTTTTTTGGAAAACAAAAAAAGAACCCTTTACATTGTTTTTCATGAAGTTATGGTTTTTTTGTAGATTTTTTTGACGGATGCTCTTTTTGTGACTTTTTAGAGCAGATATTGTTGGAAAAATTATAGTTTTAGATAGGAACGTTATTTTAGTTGAATTATGTTGCAATAACTTATGTTTTGTGTAAAGATTGTTATTTTTGTGTTAAAGATTGTTATTTTTGTGTTAAAAACTATATTTCAATTATATATATGATAATCGGGAATTATTGTTCAATAAAAGTTTGAGCTAGTATAACATTTCCCAAATGTACATTGGTGGCTGACTAGTTATTTGTTTATTTTGATTTTTATTACCAGGTGTAATGAGGTTGGTTTATTCAATTGGTTAGTTTTTAACAATTTCAATATTATAATCAAACCGAATAAGAATAAGGTGCGATTAATCGGTTTTGTATTATATTTTTTAATTAACAAACGTAATTAAAATGAAAATACAACAATAAATCAAATAGGTAAAACAATCTAACGAGGATTAATCTGGAATATGTTTTGCCAATACAAACAGTCTTTTCAAAAAATGGTTTGAAACGGCCTATAAAACTAGTTAGACCAAGACCCGGAGAAGAAATCGGGTCAACTAATACCAGTTTTATGTTTATTTTTGAACCGGCATAAACTGACCGATTTTTATAAAAATCCGGTTGAATGGTTAAATTATACCGGTTGAACCGATTAAATTAAATAAAAACACATGAAAATGAATAATTTTTATAACAAACTTTAGGGTTTTTTTCATATCTATTTAGTTTTTTTTTTTTTTTTGACACATGATAAATGTTATAAAGTTTTTTAATACATTTGTATTCATTTAAAACTATATTTTGCTCATGTATTATACTTTATTTTATTTTTTATGTATGTGGATTGATATAAAATTTACTGTTATGAGTTTTTAATGTATTTTCGAGTGATCTTTTAACTTTAACATATGTATTTTTAATGTTTTAACTTATGGATGACTATGTTTGTGGAGGAAACTAGAATATATATATATATATATATATATATATATATATATATATATATATATATATATATATATATATATATATATATATATATATATATGGTTGAACCGACGATTGAATCAATTGAACCGGAAACCGATCACCATACCGATTCATTAAAAAACCGTTTTTTTAAAGCAGTAAGTATAACAATTGCAATGCCAGTTTGTATTTCTAGCCAGGTGGCATGAACACCACGACCGTGCACACAATCCCCACCTCCATGGCATAGGTGTTTTGTGGTGTTCTTCACTGATAGTACACCGAAGACCACAGTATCATGTGTGTTGATGTTGTTTGCTGACTTGGAAGCTCCTCGTGCTTCTTAGCTGTGGGGAGTATACGGATGACCTAATTAAATTGATTATACGCAACTTTGCACGTGTATATGACAAAGAAGAATAAATATCCTTTTAACAGTTTCTGAATTCTAAAACCATTGTCTTGACAAACAAGAAATTTTATTTTATCTTTTGTTTGACTCTGACTAAATGCTAACTTATTTTACAAGAGAACTCACCACAGCATCAAGCTATTTAAAAAAACTGATGTATATTATCATATATGCCTTCATCAAGCACGTTCATGTCTTTCACCATGACCATGTCTATGTTTCTTTTGACCACTCTTATTTTTAGCCTCTTCCAAATTTCAAGTCTTGCAAGCTCATCACCCCATTTAATCAACTTCCGATCACCCAATCTCTACCCTGAGTCTCTCTCATGGGACCCAACAGCCCAACACTTGATAGTTGGGTCCCTCCGCCACCCAACTCTCCTATCTGTTTCCGATGCCGGTGTCATCAACACGCTAGTCTCCGACGATTCCATTCCCGCCAACTCCTCTTTCCTCGGAATCACAGTAGACATTGTCCACAACCGTATCCTAGCGGTGGTCCACCCCTGTTCACAACCTTCCAACTGTGCCCTTGCCGCCTACGACTTACACAGCCCCCATCACCGCCTCTTTCTCACCACCCTCCATGACGCCGCCTCCACCAACTCCGCCTCCGGGGCCAACGACGTCACCGTTGATTTCTCTGGCAATGCCTTCGTAACCAATTCCGCCAGCAACTTCATCTGGAAGGTTGATCTTGAAGGTAAAGCTTCTGTTTTATCTAAATCCAAAATCTTCACAAAAACACCAGTTCCAGACTCCCCCTACAGCTCGTGTGGACTCAATGGAATTGCTTACTGTAGCCAAGGCTACCTCCTTGTTTCCCAGTCAAACACGGGAAACTTATACAAAGTTGATTCCAAAGATGGAATAGCGAGAAAGATAGAATTAAACAGGGAATTGAATGCCCCTGATGGAATTGCCATCAGGAGTGATGGCGTTCTGTTGGTGGTATCACAATACAAGCTATACTTCATCAAGAGTTCCAATAGCTGGATAGATGGTGTGGTTTATGACGAAATTGTCCTTGATACGGGGCGTTTCCCGACCTCGGTGACTGTAGGAGCGGAGGATAGGGTTTATGTGTTATATGGTCATGTGAACGAGGGTATAATGGGAAATTTACAAAGGGATGAGTTTAGTATATTGAAGCTAAGGTTGGAGGACGAGAGTGGGGATGATGCAATTTGGTTGTACGTATTGATTGGGTTTGGTTTCGCGTATTTTTTGATTTGGAGATTTCAAATGAATCAGCTTTTTACAAAAATGGACAAGAAATTTGTATAATCATGAGGGTTTGCAACAAAAGTTTGAATCCTTGATCTATCATGTATGGTTATTGGTAGATTTCCAATTAAAAAAAAATCATTTACAATATTTTTCATGAAGTTAGATTTATGTTCAGCTGGAGTTCAAGGTTATTGTTTAAATATTTTATATATACTAAAGTTCTTTTTTCTTTGTGATGTCTCAAAGAACAAGATCACGAAGGTCAAATTTTGTGTGGTTGTGTTATTAGTTGAGCTCTATATGAATATGGTCGGATCGGACCATTTCCTATTCAACAAAAAGTTGCTAAATTAAAGAGCATATCAATCACGTCAAGAAATTATCTGTACAATGAATGCTTTTCTTAACAAATAAAGATTAATCCCAAATGGAGATAATACCACCCGACCCGAGCGAACCCTAGCATTATAAATAACACATTCCAACTGAAACACTCCATTTTCCATGCAAAGATCTTTATTCCACCCTTTTTTCTTGTAGGACCCAACACCACACACATGATATGATATTCAATTTTTACCATCGACAACACCAATCTTGGTAAGCGATTTATTTAAAATCTCATTTACATCGTTGCATTTCATAGCTCAAACAATCTATTGTCAGAAGAAGTTGAATCGCCTATTCTAGTTGATTCACCTTGCTGGAAATTTTTTTAGAATAAACTTTAGGTAAGCAATGAGACTGTTGAGGATTGTGGAATCTGAACCCCAATAAAACCCGATGGAAAGGAAGTTATATTAGACTCTTTTGTAACAGGAACTGAATAAGCCCGTTGTACCAAATGATCATTGGTTTAAGGTAATTTCAATTTTTTTACGGTTATAACTTATAATGACGGGTTTGAAAAGTAATGATTATAGGAGCACCTTGAATCTTGGGAAAACATTATAGATTCTTTAAGAACCTTCGATTACAAAAAGTAGATTTGAATCCTTTTTAAAAAAAGAAAGGTTCTCAAGGAAATGATCTTTGGTCGTAGAATATAACAATTTTCAAATGATCTTTGGTTGTGGAACATAATATTTTTCTCAAAGATTTAATCGTTTGTTTGTCTTGTGTTAAAACACAATTGTAAGATTTGCGCTTGATTGGAATTAAAAAACAATTGTGAACATTTTGAGGTGGTGTTTCTTTTGTGGTGGTTGTTTTGCAAGCGAAAATCCATAAAGTTTGCGGATCACATTTGCATCTTTTTATAGCAGAAGATGTGAACCAAACGGCTGCAGTCTGTAATAAGAAATCTGTTTGTTATTTAATATTTGTAAGCTGCTACGGTAAACTGAAAATAGTTCTCAATATCGAAATTTTAATAATTCTAGTTTTAAAACATTGAAAGAATACTTAAAAAACATGTAAAAAACAAAATTTTCAAATTTAAAAAAAAAAAAAAAAACTAAAAAAGTGTAAAAGAAGTCATCCGTTTTTTTTTCTAGAAAAAACTAATTTTAAAGAACATAAAAAAATTATAAAAAAATAAAGAAAATATTGCAAACAATGTTTAGAAAATTCGTAAAAGAATTACACATATTAAAAAAGATGCAATCGAAACGAAAAATATTATTAAAAGAAACGGTAGAAAAAGTAAAAAAAAAAAAAAAAAAAAAAAAAAAAAAAAAAAAATCAAAAGTTATAAAAGATTGTGGAAACTATAAAAAGAAATTGTAAAAAATCCATAAATCAAAGTTTTTTAAAAAAATCAAAAGTTAAAAAAAAAATAGAAGTTTAAAAAAAAATCAAGTTATACCAAATTTCTAAAAAAATAAAAAAAAAATCATTTAGAAAAAATGAAAGTTGAAGAGATTTGAAGAGATAAGTCAAGTATTGCGCCGCGCAAAACACGCATAGAGGTTTGTAGTATGAAGCATTCCAACAAACAAACTGGTACGAAATAGCAAATGTTGTTTATGTGCTGTGCCGCGCAACAAAAAATGGTATGAAGAAGTTTTGCTAAAAAAACAAACAACCTCTTATCTTCTGCTTTTCACGTAGGTAAAATACGGGATTTAATGGGTTGATTGGTTACAATTTTTAAGTGCTAAAAAAAGCTTTGATATGGTCGTTCTCATCACAATTTTTTTTGAAATGGCGAAATATATTAAAAATAGGCATCCCGACTAGTAAGAAACTATAACGGGGGCAGTAAACAAGTTATATATTACAATTATCAAGTTATGAATTCGAAATGGAGAACAATTCCATTCTATCCAAGAACAATGATTTAACACACCCTTGTGTTTACACCACGTATACGGGAGTGAGATGATGTGATCTACAATTTGGTTAGAGGAAAAAACAACTTTGTTGGATACCTTTTTGTTTCTTGCCTTCCAAATGCACGTATAACACACAATAAAATATGGTAATAACAATTTCCTTTCTCTTGGACACTTACCCCAATCAGCCGAAAAAGGCCATGAACTCTACCACATCAGAGAATTGTTGGTGTTGAATTCCACAACAATTGAGAACACGATCCAAAACACATATTGTTAAATTACACCTGAC